GGCCTCCTAGAGTGCTAGGACTACAGGCGTGAGCCACCGCGCCCGGCCAGAAAGAACATTTTTAAAAATTATTTTGTGCTGCAAATGGTGGCTCACACCTATAATCCTAGCACACTTTGGGAGGCCAGGGCGGGAGGATCACTTGAGGCCCAGAATTCAAGATCAGCCTGAGCAAGAGTGACACCCTGTCTCTACTTAAAAGAAGAAAAATTAGCCAGGCATGGTGGTGTGCACTGTAGTCCCAGCTACTCTGGAGGCTGAGGCAGGAGGATCGCTTTAGCCCAGGAGTTTGAGGCTGCAGTGAGCTGTGATCATGCCACTGCACTCCAGCCTGTGCAACAGAGCGAGACCCTGTCTCAAAGAAAATATTATTTTGTGATGGTGGTAAAATACACATTAAAAAATTTACCATTCGTTGGATTTAGTAACATTCACAATTTGTGCAGCCATTACCACTCCCTACTTCCGGAGCATTTTCATCACCCCGAAAGGAAGCCCCAGCCCCACTGAGCAGTCTCTCCCCATTTCCCTCCTTCCAGCCCCTGGCAGCCACCAATCTGTGCCTGTCTCTGTGGATTTATTCCGGACATTTCCTATAAATGGACTCACACACAATGTGGCCTTTTGTGTCTGGCTTCTTTCCCTGAGCCTCACATTTTATTTATTTATTTTTTTATTATTATCTTGATTCAGATGTGAAAGCAAGCGGCATCACATTTTCAAAGCTCATCCATGTTGTAGCGTGCATTGGTACTTCATTTCTCTTCATGGGCCAATGATATTTCATTGCACGACTACGCCACGTTTTGTTGATCTGTGTATCCATGATGGACATTTCAGTTGTTTCTGCCTTTTGGAGGAGGTAAAATATTTTATTTAATTGCTTATAGTTTGATTTGGTTTGTTGGTTTGTTTTAGTGGCAAGGTCTCCCTCTGTGGCCCAGGCTGGAGTGAAGTGGCACAATCACAGCTCACTGCAGCCTCAATCTCCTGGGCCCGAGCAATCCTCCCTCCTCAGCCTCCCGAGTAGCTGGGACTACAGGCATGCACCAGCACTCCTGCTAATTTTCCATTTTTAGTAGAGACGGGAACTTGCTCTATTATTATTATTATTATTTTGTATTTTTTTTTCCAAGCATTAGAGCCAGGGATTTTTTTCTATTTTTTTTTCCAATTATTATTATTTTGAGACAGAGTCTCACTCTGTTGCCCAGGCTAGAGTGAGTGCCGTGGAGTCAGCCTAGCTCACAGCAACCTCAGACTCCTGGGCTCAGGCGATCCTCCTTCCTCAGCCTCCCGAGTAGCTTGGACTACTGGTGTGCGCCACCATGCTCGGCTAATTTTTTCTCTATATATTTTTAGTTGGTCAATTAATTTCTTTCTATTTTTGGTAGAGACGGGGTCTCGCTCAGGCTGGTTTCGAACTCCTGACCTCGAGCGATCCTCCCGCCTCAGCCCCCCAGAGTGTTAGTAAGTAATCATTCTGAAGCAACTGTTGTGTGCCAGGCACTGTTAGGCTTGGGAGAATTGCGTGAAGAGGTGAACGAGACAAACAGGAGATGCTATGATGCAAGCCCCTTGCAGGGTGGGTTGGAAGAGAGATAATACACACATCAGCAAAGAAAGGAGGTGATGGGCGATAACTGGGGCAGAGGGTGAGTTATTGAGGATACCTGGGACGGACTTACGGAAGGGGTGCTGCTGTAGGCTAGGTGGCCAGGGACCGGTCTCCCGAAGAAGTGACATTTGAGCTGAGACCTCAACAGCAGAATCCATCCATGTGTTGAGTCATTCCAAGCAGCCAGAAAGGCATCGCAAAGGCCCCGAGGTAGGAAGGAATGCAGTTGGGGGGTTTGAGGGAAGCAGGAAGGCTGGAATGAAGCGACCTAAGGGGACCATATCAGAAGAGGAGATCTGAGAAGCAGGCAGGGCCTTCTGGGCTGGGGTAGGGAATTTGGATTTTTATTCTGGATCTGATGGGGGCCTTTGGGGGGAGGGGAGGTGGCTGGAGAGAAGTGGACGGGTGCAGTATATGTCTGGAGGCAGAGCCAACAGTTCTGATGAGGGACTGGAGGGCAGCTGAAGGAAAGAGAGAATTCGAAGCAAACTCCTAGGTTTTTGGCAAGGAGAACTGGATGGGGAGGAGTAGGTTAGGGGAAACCAGGAGTTCAGTTTGGGGAGTGTTCAGTCTGAGGTCGAGATTAGACTGGAGATTGTCAGATGTGAGTCCAAAGCCCAGGGGAGAAGTGAGGGCTAGAGATATAAATTTGGGAGACATCCACATAGACATGATGTTTAAAGTATGAGATTGGCCGGGTGTGGTGGCTCCCGCCTGTAATCCTAGCACTCTGGGAGGCCGAGGCAGGAGGATCGTTCAAGGTTAGGAGTTTGAAATCAGCTCTGAGCAAGAGTGAGACCCCGTCTCTACTAAAAATAGAAAGAAATTAATTGACCAACTAAAAATATATATACAAAAAAAAAAAATTAGCCGGGCATGGTGCGCATGCCTGTAGTCCAGCTACTCGGAGGCTGAGGCAGGAGGATTGCTTGAGCCAGGAGTTTGAGTTGCTGTGAGCTAGGCTGACGCCACGGCACTCACTCTAGCCTGGGCAACAAAGCGAGACTCTGTCTCAAAAAATAAAAATAAAAATAAAGCATGAGACTGCCATACTCGGTGGCTCCCGCCTGTAATCGTAGCATTTTTGGAGGACAAGACAGGAAGATCTCTTGAGGCCAGGGATTCGAGGCTGCAGTGAGCTATGATGACGCCACTGCACTCTATCCTGGGAGACAAACCAAGACCTTGTCTCATTAAAAAAAAAAAAAAAAAAGCAAGAATTATCACACTGTAGTCCCAGTTACTCGGGAGGCTGAGGCAAGAGGATCGCTTGAGCCCGAAGTTCAAGGTTACAGTGAGCTGTGATTGGGCCACTGCACTCTAGCCTCAGTGGATCCTCTCTTAAAAAAAAAAAAAAAGCAAAGCATGAGATTGGAATTTGTCAGTCTGGTCCTGGAGGAAGACTGTCATTGATGGAGACTTAACAAAGAGACAGCGTACAAAGGTATAGGGCAACTTCAGGCGTAGTCCAGCACCCTGGGTTAGCAGCCCTGGGGCTGTTACCACCCTCAGCCCTGGACAGAGCTGTGGGACCTGCTGCTGCAGTGGAGGGGCTTGGGCGGAGGGGATGGGGGATAGACATCTTGCTCTTGCTCTCTTTCTCTCCATCGCCGCAGGCCCCGGTGGAAGCTTATGGATGCAGCTGAAACAGAATCTGAGAAGCGGTGCCTGGGAACTAGGAGAATCAGGATGGGGCAGCATTCCGAAGACCAAGTGCCAATGGGAAGGAGGACAGGGAAGGGGACAGCAACCGAGTCTGCCAAATGGTGACAGGTGTCCTTGGACAGAGAAGCTCGTGGGACGAGGACCAAGCGCCCAGTTAGCATGGCCAGAGGAAGGAACAGGAGGTGGCAGAGCGGAGGAGTCTCTACAGAGACATTTTCCCGAAGTATATAACTTCAATCCTCACCTCCCCTAGCGGAAGGCACTGCTACCCCATTTTTCAACAGGAAACTGAGGCTGGGGAAGGCCCACATCTGGCTCAGGTATAAACTGATGCGGAGCCAGTTGGCCTGATTCCAATTAGACCAATGGAGGTCAGAGGGAGGGGCCGCGGGAGGTGGATCTGGGGACAGGTGGGGGTGGAAGAGCAGAGGAAGTCATCACCTCTAGGCAGGGGGTTTGGGGAAGCGGTGACCAGATAGTTGGGTTCCTGGGGTTCCTGAGGGTGTGTAGCCCCCCTTTCTCTAGGTAACTTATCTTTCTTCCTGTCCCCCAGAGTGGCGGGTGGGGCAGGTTCTAGGGAGAGCCTGCTTCCACCCAGGGGAAGAGTGGAAAATTTCCCCGGGAGTGGGGGGGAGACGCGGGGGGGGGGACATCCATCCTGCCCTTGAACGACACGATCTGGTCCCAGCCTCAGGCAGCGGCTCCCTCCCGCCAGCCAGAATGCCTCCTGTCCCCAGTCTGGGCCTCCCTGGCCGCCTGGGCCCAAGGTGACCGCCTTTCCACCGCAACCGCTACGCTGCGCCCCGGGCGCGCCGAGTCGGTCTCTCCCTCCTCCCTCAGTCTGGGAGCGCGCTGGGCCGCGGACACCTCGCGGACTTTTCCGGCAGGGCAGGGGAGGGGAGGGGAGGGGAGGGGAGGGGGGGAGAGGCGGCTGCCGGGCTAGGCGGGGCGGCGGCGCGCTCCTGGGAACCCAGCGCCGGGCGCGAGAAGGCGGCTCCCGGCGCCCCCTCGGGCCGGAGCCGAGGCCGCAAGGGCGGGGGCTGCAGGGAAGGCCCAGAGGCCCCGGCGTCGCGCCCGCTGGCTCACACCCGCGGGGGGGGGGCTGGCCAGGTCCCGAAAAGATGGCTTCGGGGGACACCCCCACAAGAGGGCCAGTGGGTCAGAGCCCAGTCCGGCGCGCGCCTGGGGCTGTCTCGCGCGCAATGCCAGGGACAGGGGTCCGAAAAGGTGCCGAGGTGCGCTCAGTGGGAAGACACTGCAGCCGGAGTGGCCCGGCAGGTAGCGGGCCGGGTCTGGGGAAGCCCTCTTCCAAGAAGTCCCAGTTTGCGACTGACCCGCGCGCACCCGCCGACGAAATTCGGTGCCCGGCCGCGACGCCCCGTCCGGAGGGCGGGGGCGGGGCCGGGGCGGGGCCGGAGTCCTCGGCAGGTGCCGGGGCGGGGCCTGGCCCTGCCCGCGGGGCCGTTCTTGAGGCCAGAGGCGGGTCAGAGAGAAGCGGCCGGTGCGGGCAACGCCTAGGAACCCACAGGCCGCGACTGCAGCCACAGGTGCCGCACGGGGCACCGTGTCCTAGCTCTGGCCATCAGAGCCCTGGCGGAGGGGGAACTGAGGCTTCCGAGCTGCTCCCAACCCTGGACGTAGAGGCCCCCGGGCCAGAGAGCGGAGCCCTGGGGTCGCCTGAAGCTCGGGGCCACGAGCCCCCTGGGCCAGGCAGCGAAGCCCTGGAGCCTGCTGTACAGCGGGACGCCGAAGTGTCCGGGCCGAGCCGCGAGGTCCCCGTGCCCGCCGCAGAGCAGGGCGTCGAGACCCCGGAGCAAGAGGGCGAAGTCCCCAAGCCGTCAGGCGAGCAGGACGCCGGGCGCGCCGGGCCGTCCACAGCTGCGGGCCTAGTGAGTCTCGAGCCAGGCAGCGACGACCCTGGGCTGTCCGAAGCGCGAAGTGCGGGGGTCCAGGGGCCGTGTCCCCCTCCGGGCCCTGAGACCTCCTCCTCTGGCGGGCCAAGCCCGTTCCAGCCGCCTGCGGAGGAGCTGCCCATGGAGACTCCCATCGAGCGCGAAATCCGCCGCAGCTGCGAACGCGAAGAGAGCCTGCGCCGGAGCCGGGGCCTGAGCCCGGGCCGAGCGAGCCGCGAACTCGTGGAGCTGCGCGTGCGGCCGGTGCTGAGCCTGCCGGGCCCTGGCCCCGCGCCCACGCGCGCCTCGGAGCGCGCGCGGGCGGGCGCGCAGATGCTGCGAGACATCGAGCGGGAGGCCCACCGGCAGGCGGCGCTGGCGCGCCGCGCCACCGCGCGCCGGTCGCCGCGGCAGCCGCTGGCCGAGCTCAAGCGCTTCTTCGAGGCCGCCGCGGGGAGCTGCTCCGCGCGGCGGGGGCGGCGGAGGCCGCCGCGGCTGCTGGAGCCCGGGGGCCCGCCGCGCTCGGCGGCGCAGGCCCGGTGCCCGGTGCTGGCCCGCGCCCCGCCGTGCGCGGCTCCGTCGCTGCTGGAGCAGGAGGTGCACGAGGCGCGCGAGCGCGAGCGGGAGCTGCAGCGGCAGCGGCGCAGCGTCTACGGGACCGCCGAGTTCCAGGAGCCTGCGCCGAGCCTCGCCGGTAAGCCCGGGGACCCCGGTGTGCTGGCCGCCCCACTGGCTGCCCAACGCCGGGGGCCCCTTCTCTGGATTCTCGGGGTCTCTCCTTGCAGGCTCCCAGACTCCTGGGACCCCCTTCTCCACGTCCCGTCCTCTGCCCACCCCTTCTGGGCTGCCCAGCCCCCGGGCTCCACTTCCCACCCGGAGCGGCGGACTCCCAGCCCCACACCCTCCAGGTTGGGGGGGCGGATTCCAGATGTCTTCCTCTTTCCCTGGAATTCCGGGGTTCCAGGGAACCCTGACTGGGTTCTGGCACTACTGGATCGTCCCTCTGAATTTTCCGGCTCCTGCCTCTCCATTCTGGGTTCACCTCCCTCCTCCTTCGGGTTCCTGGGCTCCCCGGAGCTGGATGGGGGCCTCGATGGGGACGAGAAGGGTGAACGCCTGTGTGTTAAAGGGGCGCGGTCGGCCTCCCTCATCCCGGCTGCCTCCAGCTGGCAAGAGGAGGGGCACCCCCGGCTGAGCGCTCCTTCCCCCCACAGCGAGCAGGGGCGACGGGAAGTTGGCGGTGATCTGGCCCCCCCGCAGAAAGGCCTCGGAGAACGGGCTGGAGCAGGTGGGCGCCCCCTTCCCCGTCACCCAGAGCGCTTGCGGCTCCCGTCCTCCCTGCGGCGCCAGGACGCCGCGTGCGGAAAGATGTAGCCCTGCGCCCCTTGGAGCGCCCCTCTGGCCAGAGCTCGAAGTGTGGGGCGCAGCCCGGGGGTGCAGAGGATGCGGTCGTCCTGGGGCCCCAACCGCCCCACCCTGCACCCGGGTGCGGGGCGCGGGTCTCTGAGGCCGGCCTTCCTTCTGGCCCTCTCTCCCCAGGAAGCGCGCAAACCTTGAGGGTGGAGCAGGGTGGGACCTGTGGCCGGAAGTACCAGACCCGTCGAGGGGCCGGGAGGCGGGTACCCCGCGGTGCCCCCCTGCAGCAGGTCTGGATGCGGGTCAGCTCCCGGCGCTGGGGAAGATGAGATCGACCAGCCCAACCTTGATCTTGACTTTATGAAACTGACCAGCCCTCTCCATACAACCGCTTCGTCCGCCTTGGGAAACTGACCACCACGCACAGCTCGGCCGGCGAGACCGCCCAGCCCGGCTCCTGCCAACTGCGAGCTGAGCCGCCCTCCCTCCCTGGGCTGTTAGAGGGTCTCAGCCGCCCCCTCCCCCAATAAAGCCACTTCTTTCAGGGCAGTGGAGGCTGTTTTCTTCTGGGTCCTCCTGGTCTGGGGTGGGGCGGGAAGGCGGAGGGCGGAGGGCGGAGGGCGGCCTGAGAAAACCGCAAGAGGCGCCGGCCGGAATGCGGAATGCGGGAATGTGCCCTTATCGCCCGGTTCCCGGGCTGCCCGCCTCCCCCGGCCAGCCCCGGCCTGGCCCGGGTCCGACTGCCCCCTGGCGGCACGGGCGCAAACGCGACGCTCCGACAGGACGCACGCCCTCCCTCTCCAAGTTTCTTTGTCAATATTTATTTGCGCCAATGGGGAGCCCCGCGCCGGGCGCTGGCTAGACACAGGTGATAAGAGGCTGTTCTACCCTGGAGACGTATGCAATAGCTATTAAAAAAAAAAGAAAAGAAACAGGAATAAAAGGGCATACGTGGTGAGGGTACAAGCTACTCCTCCACATCAGCAGTTTCTGACCATGGTCCTTGACATCACAGTTCCTCGCAAGGGAGGAGTGGAGGGAGGGAGGGAAGTGTCACGAGTTTCTGTTTTCCAAAAGCAACTGGACACCCAGCCTTTAAAAGAGAAATCTTTGCTTCTTAGACTATTAAATAATATATATACACAAAATAAAAATCTGAACTTTGCACGATTGGAACTATTTGGAAAAAACTTTTAAAATCTTGAGGGAGGGAGGGAGAGTGGCAAGCATCACCTGCTTACAACAGAACCTGTGGCTGTCCATTTGCAAGCCCTGGTTAATTTCTCTTCCCTGGATGAGGGTTGGAGAGGGAGGGTGAACGCCCCAAGTTGTCTGTAAAACTGTATCTGTGCAGTTAAAATTCTGGGGCTAGAGTTTAACAGCTTCTTAGAAGTGCACTGAGACCAGAAAAGGTGAGGCCCAGGAACTTTTTGGAATTGCTGTTTGGACTCCTCGGTCTGTCCAACTCTGCCCCCTGCATAGGGACAGCAAATGAAGTACACATGAGAAGAAAGGCTCATACAGCCAAGAGCAGCTCAGTCCAAGAAGGGCCCAACTCCTGACCCTATTGTCCCTACACTGACCACGTGCTTGACCTTGATTCTGGGAGATCCCGAGAGAAAGGCAGGAGAGAGCCAGGGGTTCTCTAACTTTCCCGCATATTAAACTTAACTGAGGCCCCCTGTGGCGAGCAAATCAGAATGTTGTGTGGGGGTGCTTGACATCCGTATTTTTATTTTAAAGCTCCTCCCAGCTTATTCCAATGTGCAGCCAAGTTTGAGAACCATGATGCAGATGTAGACCAGAAGTTCTCAAAGTGTGGTGCCTGGGCCAGCAGTAGCAGCCATACTCGGGGACTTGTTAGAAATGCAAGGACTTGAGTCTAGGCCCAGTCCTAATGATGGACCTCTCCGCGTGATTCTGGTATGTGCTAAAGTGTGAGAAGCACGGGTGTAGACAGCTGCTGAGCAACAGGACCCAGGAAATCAAGCTTGTTTCCTTCCTCTTCCAGTATTGCACTGCCACTACCCACCGGAAACGTTTAGGGCACGCAGACTGTGGCTTTCATTTGAAGAAGACAATATAAAGCTGCTTGTGGCTAGTCTGAATTAAGATGCACTTGTAAGCCCGAAATACCAGCTTTCAAAGACTTAGCACAAAAAAAAAAAAAAAAAAAGGAAAATATCTCATCACTAATTTTTGCATGGATTTTATGTTGAAATAACATTTTGGGTATATTGGATTAAATAAAAAAATATCACTAAAGTGAACCTGACCTCGTCTATTTTTTATGCCGTTACTAAGAAGTTTGAAATTACGCATGTGACTTGCGTTTGTGGCTCGCTCTCTATTTCTACTGGATCGAGCTACGAGTCTCAACAGCCACAGGCAGACTCACAGGGGCTACACCTCAACTCGGTATCAGGGAATCAGAATTTCCTTGAGCTCATTCAGACCACGACCATAGACTAAAATAAATAAGTAAGTAAATCCTTGCAGTCAGAAATTGTCCCAGAAGCCCGCACGAAGGGCAAGGGTTTTGGGGGGGGGGTGTCCACTCTTTGACTCGCTTCGCCTCTTAGGCCCGTTTTTGGCCGCTTGTAAACTGAGGCTTGCGATGACACCACGTGCCAGGGACAATGAGGCGCGCGCCGTGCTCGACAGCGTTAGGGGGGAGGGGGACCAAAAGGCGTCCCTTGGTTTAAAAGGGGATAACGCGCCGCTGAGCGACCCCCGGGTCAGGAAGGACGCCCTTCCTCCGGCAAGGGGCCAGCTGAGGTCAGAAGGACCTGCCTTGGGGTTCGAGCCCCGCCACTCGCTCGCGGGAGCTTTAAACAGGTGCGTCCGCCTCCCTCATCCTGGGTCTCCTCTCTCCCGCCCTGGGGTGAAGAGAGGCTCAGGGACCCCCAAGCTGGGGCCCCTTACGACTCTCCCACACACGGCTCGCGCCCGGGATACCCGCAGAAGAAGGACGGCGACACGCCCGGATCTAAAGTCCCAAAAGCTGGAAGAGGGTAAAAAAATAAATAAATAAAATAAGTCTGACTCGGCCCTTCGGAAACCGATCGCGACCGCTTTCCTGGGGCACGTCGGGTAATGTAGTCTTTTACGTTGGGCGGAAAAAACCACAAACAACTTCCGGGTCAAAACGGGAGTGGGCGTGGCCCCAAGTCTTTTCCTCCAGTGGGTGTTGAGAACTTTCCTGCTACCCGAAACTTGCGGTCTTCTGGCTTGCTGACCCGCGCCGCTACTTCCCTTTCTGCTTCATGCGCGCGCCTGCGCACGCGCCGCGCTCTCGCCCGCCGGTAGGCAGACGACGGGCCCGCTTCCGATGCCTACATTCCCCAGAAGGCCACGCGGGTGGGCGGGGCGCGGCGCGGCGCGGCGCGGCGCTCGGAGCGGACGCGGAGCCTGTGACCTCTTTCTTTTATTGAACACAGAAGTGGCGCGTCCGAGGCGTGGGCCCCGCGGCCCGGCGGGGCTCGGCGCGGCCCGGGCCTATCGGGAGGCGAGGCCGGGCTCCGCTGGAGAGCGGGCGAGCCCCTCCGGCCGGCCGGCCGCCTCTCGCGGAGTTCGAGACCGGCAGGCTCCGGCGCCCGCCCGCCCGCCCGCACGGGGTCAGGACCCCGGCGCCGCCCACGCGGCGGGCCCCGCTGCGCTCGGGGGCCGCGCCGGGCCCGCCTGGCCCGTGAGGATCTGCACCAGCAGGTCGGTGGCCAGCGTGTGCGACGGCTCCTCGAAGCCGATGGTCAGCAGCTGCTGGTAGTCCCCAGGTGGCTGCGGGCACAAAATCCTGGGGGGCCCGGGGGGACAGCCGGGCCCGGGCCTGAGTGCCCCCTGCCCCCCGGAGCCCCTCCCCGGGGCCGAGAAGCCGCGGCTGAAAGAGGCTTCTGTTTCAGCTGGGGGCAAACCCGGGAGGGAAGTTGTCTCCTTGTGGACGAGAAACTGAGAGTGTAACTGAGTGACTGTCTCCCAGCTGTCCCGATCACACTGCTCGCTGTGTGTCCTCGGGCAGGGAGCTCAACCTCTCTGGGCACCTGTTTTCTTTCTTTGTAAAATGGGGCCACTAGTACAGACCCCACTGGGTTGTCGCTAGCGTCTGCATAGAGCGCTTTTCATTTTATAGCACAATAAAACACGCTGTGGTTACCAAGGGCAGCATCCAGTTGGGGGAGAAAGATGGTCTTTGGTGGGGTTCCGCCCCTCCCTCCAGAGCCCGCCTGGCCATGGCCCTGGTTCCTACCAGGAGTAAATGTCGTCCTCAGCCGGTCCTAGGGGCACCCATCGGCCAATGGACCACAGCTTCTGGATCTGGGGGCACGAATTGGCCGGACTCTTGCCTGTGTCTTCCCAGGTGTCTCGGTAGCACAGGAAATAGCTGGGACGGGAGGAAGCAACCATGAAAACTTTTTTTTTGTTTGTTTGTTTTTTTGTTTTGTTTTGTTTTGTTTTTTTTAAGAACATGTTCTGTAATAAACCATGAAAACTGATCAGCCTCATAGCTGCTTCTGTTGAGGGCTTTGATTTTGAAGGGGGGAGCGGGTAGAAACTCATCACAAGTTGTTCTGAAATTCTCAGGAATGTGACTCAATAAATACCAAGGCCTTTTCTGCCCGCCCCGCCAGCCTCCTTTTAAGATAAGGGCTTTTATTTTGATGGGAGGGTGAGTTTAAATAAAGAAAAAAGGGTAGAGGCGGCCTTTCAAAGGTCTTTAGTTTTCTGGTTTGCTTTTCATGTTGCTGGTAGTCCAGAGACCCATGTTAGCATTCCTCATCTCAGAGAAGGGAGGACTTTTATTTTGGTAAGGGGACTTACTAGTCCACATGGGAATCTTGCCCCCTGCCACCGGGCTCTGGCATGGTCTCCAGGCTCCAGCGCATCTTCTTGTAGAGGTACCTGGGGAAGCGGCTGGCAGTGTAGGCAGCCGGGGCACAGTATCTGAAGATGGACACCTCGTGGGAAGGGCTGATGGAGAACCTCCCGCAGAAGAAGCAGGAGATGCTGGCAGGGTGGGAGAGCGGGTGGTGAGGCCGGGCCCCGGACTATGTCACACTCTCCCCCGCGCCCCAAATCCGTCTCCTACCCTTTACCTCAGAGGGTCCGTGTCCTCCAGGCTCACGAAGCCGAAGGACGCATACATGAGGACCAGCTGTTCCAGGCGCAGGGTCAGCTGCTGGGAGATCTCCAACAGCTGCGGGGAGAGGAGGTGTAACGAGATCAGCTGGCCTGCGGGGAACACCCCCCTCCCTCCCTCCCTCCTGTCCCCCAGGCCTGGAGCTGTGGGCAGGAAGGGGCGTGGGGTCCAGGAAACCTGCTTGGAAGCACACACAGACCCCCTTCCGGATCAGCTCCTGCAGGGCTCCGTAGATGGGGGGCATGCTCCTCGCGGCTGCCTCCAGGTACAGGAAGTAGGGCTCGCACATCTGCAGGAAGGTCGGCATGGCCTTTGCCAGCTGTTCCTTCTGTACGCTGTCCCTGCTGAAGGGAGAAGGGGGCCTTTGCCTGGGGTCCCTCCCCCTCTTACCAGTTGCTCCCATTCTGCTCACCCTCCACCCGCATCCCTGGCCTGGACAGACCCACCCCCGTGCAAAATCTCCTAGTCCCAGGCCTTTCCCCTGAACGTGGTTCGAGCCCACCTACATCTGAACCATTTGGAACACTTGTGAAAAGGCTGACACCTGAGGCCCAGGACTCACTACAGACTCAAAACTTTCTGGGCAGGGTGAAGGCCAGAAATCCAGGGTGGAAACAGCCCCCCAGGGGTTTCCAATGGACACGGACACCTGACAATCACACCTCCTTCCTCCCCCGGTGTGGGGATCACATTATCCTTTGGGGGTCTCAAATTGGCAGTCTGTGGGCCAAACCTGCCTCAGGTGAGTTTTGTTTAGCGAGGCTCAGGGTTCAAGATCTAAACCAACGTTTAAAAACTGGGAGAGAAAGTCCTAGAGACTTAGCAAGCCCTCCAGGCCCACAGGGGGTCTCGGGATGGTAACACCCCCGGTTCCACAGGGTTCTCACCACCCTCTGAAATTGGATCCCTAATCGGCTAGCTTCATCTGCTGTCTCCCTCTGGCTCCTAATGCTTTAAGTTTGCAACCACGGTGTGTGTCACCTAACCTGTCACCCTCTCCTCTGAGTCTCCTTGCCCATAGGGACCTAAGAGCCCGCCCCTCGTCAGTCACCTGTAGAGCAGGTAGCTCTGGAAGTCCTCTGCCTTCTTGAGCAGGTAGCGGAGCTGTTCGGTGATGGGGCTGAACATGGTGTCCAGGGCGAGGCGGGGAGCGGCTGGCCCGGGCCCGGGGCCCAGCGGCTCGGGGGAGGGCGTGGAGGCGGCTGGGGCCTCCTGCAGCTGCTCCTGGACGTCCTCAGCCTCGGGCTCCGGCGGGTCCCCCGGAATGGCAGGGGGCGTCGACCACGAGGGCTTTCCGCAGGCCTGCGCCCCGGGTTCCAAGTCGTCGGGGGGCGGCGTTTCTCCGGGGCCCAGAGGGAGCGGCCCCACGAACCACTGCTCCGAAGCCATGGCCGGCCCGGGGGCGGAGACCCGAGCTGTCTGAGCGAGTGCGGGTGCCCAGGTTGGCCTCGGGTTCCAGCCCGGCCCGCCGCGGGGGCCTGGGACTCGCCTGGGCTGGGAGCGCTCGGCCCTGCCTCGACCTCTCCAGCCGCAGCCGGCGCCGCGCGCGCCGGGGGTCCGCCTCTTTTGAATCCCGACACGCGGGAGGGGCGCGCCGCTGCGATCCGCGCTGCGCAACCGCTGCGCCCCGTCGCGGCCCGCGCACACGCGCGCCCGCAGCCCGGCGCCCGAGGGGCGAGCCCGGCCACCACCCCGCCGGCGCGGGGACGTCACGTCGCGGGGGCGGCCCGGGGCCCGCACCTCTCTCTCTCTCCAAGGCGACCCCCTAGGGAAGAGGGGTCTCTAACGTGCGTGCAAACCTCAGGGCGCAGGTGTACGCAGCCCGGTCCGCCTCCGACCCCGGGGAACCTGTTTCTTTGTTGTTTTAACTCTGATGGACTTGAGAGACCGCCTTAGAACTTAGCAGGGATTCCGTGATGTAGCAGCGATTCCTACTTCTCAGTCTTCGCTTGGACACTGTTTCCTATCCCGGGACTTTAGCTGATGGCCCGGCCCTTTCTGTCACTTTCATGGGCAGGAGCAGGAACCCCTCCCTGGAAACCCTACACGGTCCCAGGACACACCCCGCCCCCAACAGGCTGACAAGTTACCTGGCTAGGAAGCCAAAGACATGAATTATATTTAAAGACTCTGAGGAAAGAACTCAGGATGGGTGGGCCTGAGCTAGCTACCTTCCCTCCCTCATCTGTAAAGTGGGTTTTTACGAGTTCTTTGCTTCGTAGACCTACAGGGAGGACGACTGAGGAAAAATGCTCTGAAAGCATGGAATTGTTCGAGGGGCTAAGGAGGGAGTTGAGGCCAGGAGTTTGAGACCAGCCTGGGCGACATAGCCAGATCCTGTCTCTAAAAAAAAAAAAACAACTTGGCGCTGGGCTGCAGTCCCAGCCAGTCAGGAAGCGGAGGAGGGAGCCCAGCAGTTTGAGACTGCAGTAAGCTCTGACCATCCAGCCTAGGTGACAGAGTGAGACTCTGTCTCTTTAAAAAAAAAAAAAAAAAAAAAGAAAAAAAAAAAAAAAAAAAATGGAGTTAACTGCTAGTCACTCAACAAACATTTGAGCACCTACTGTGTGTGCCTGACTCTGTTCTGTCCACACCCCCCTGGAGACCTTACTGTCACAGCAGGCTGAGGCAGCCCCTTTCAGCCGGCCCAGACAATTTTGTTCTAACCTTAGGGTCTCCCAGGAGGCTCTTCAACACCTTTCCCCACCCCATTCATAAAAAAATGGACTCCGTGGCATTTTTTTTTTTCGCTTTTCCTTTTTTTAAAATTTTATTTAAAAAACTTTCGGTGCAATATTAAAAAGCAATACAGCCAGCTGGAGCGACAACCAACAGAAAGAAAGAGGGGAGGGCAGGGAGGGCCCAGGGACCCCACCCCAGCTGCCGCCGCCCTGGAGGCCAAGGGCAGACTGGGAAGGGGCGTGGGCGGTGGGGGCAGGCAGGAAAGGCCACCCACCGAAATGAACAGGCAGAAAAACACATTTATATAGGAAACAACTGGCTGGACTGAAGAGTTCTTGGGGAGATGAGAAGTGCCTCCCACTCTTTTTTTTTTTTATTTTCTTTTTCCAAAAATGTCCTGGGCTGGGGGGAGGACTGGCCTCCCGGGGTGAAAGGAACAGGCCGATGCCCCCCCCCAGCCACACTGATGAGCTGGGGGGCAGGTGTGTGTGTGTGAGACACAAAGGAAGGAGATGAGAAAGGGAGGTTTTTTCTCTTCCTTGGATTTTTTTGGGGGGGGTTCCCCTTCCGGTTCTTGGCTTGTGGGGGTTTTCGGTTGGGGGGGGGGCTGGGATGGGCAGGGGCAAGGCTGGGCGCTCAGCCTAGAAAGCCATCAGGGTCATCGTCCTCAAAGTGGCCTTGCTGAAGCACCTTGATGTGGTGCTCGTAGATTTTGAGGGCGGGGCCGAGGCGGATGGACAGGCCGGTGAGGACGTCTGTGCGCTGCATCAGCAGCAAAGACTTGCCATCGATCTCCTGGGCGGGACGGGACAGAGAGCAGGCTCACAGCCCCCGCGTGCTGGGGCTGTGTGTGCGCGTGCGTGTTGCGTGGTCCCGGGCTGGGAACTCACCTGTTCTTGGAAAGCTGTCGCCTGCTCGGGGAAGCCTGCCTCTGTGAAATACTCCACCACATCCATCACCGTCCACTCCACGGGGTCAGCCGGCTTCTCTTTGCGCCCCGGACTGCAGCAAAACAGAGGGCCACCGGTGAACGCCCAGGTCACACACCGCTGGGCAGCACCCGCACGTCTCAAACACCCCAACTTACGGACAGCCAAAGGGGGTCCCGTCGGCCCCAGGGAGGGCTGGTTTTCCTGGGGGCAAAGGCACCGGGGACGGGGAGTCTGGGCCGGTGGCGACAGAGGCTGGGAAAGAAACAGCAGCTGCCTGTGGCTTTGTCTTAGGGCCCAGTTGGTCCCCACCTGGCACCCCACCCAGAGGGGTCTCCTCACCTGATCCCCCCTCCTTATTCATGGCTGCCATGGAGAACACCTGTCGGGTGCCGCTGCCCGGCGCTGGTCCCCGCCCCTCATCCTGGCCCTGGTGGGGTCCACAGGGCGACCACTCCTTGACCCTCTCCTTGGCACTCTGAGGGCCCCGCTCGCCATTGAGTTGATGGTGCTGAGCACCTGCAGGACGGTCACTCTCTGGCACTTCTGAGCTCTCAGACACATCGTCTTCATCATCTTCCTCTTCGTCTTCATCATCTTCCTCTTCTTTCTCAAGCACTCGCTCTTCTCCACCCCTCTGCGCCCGGGAGGGAAGCAGGCGAGGTTAGGCAGCTGCTCTGACCCTGGCCCCAGACCCTGGACCCGGGACCGAGCGGTGTGCCCAACGCCACCTTTAGTAACAATGCGGACTAACTTTTCCGCGTCACTCCGTGCCGGGCTCTGTGTGCTCCAAACCCTCAGCAACCAAATCTCACGAAACTCGCTCAACAACCCCAAGGGGTCGCTACTGTTACTAAGCCGCGCTTACAGCGGAGGAAACTGAGGCTCGGGGAGATTAAGTCACTTGCCAAGGTCACCACCCGCCGAGCCCGCAGGGAACGCGCGCAAAAGCCCGGCCACCCGCCGCCCGGCTCCTCCCGGGACTCGCGCCCCCGCCGCCAACTTCGCCCGCACCTGCCCACCGCGCGGCGCCCCGGCGCGCTCACCTTGCTCCGAGACGGGCGGGCGCTGGCGGCCGGCGGCGCCCGTCCGGGCCTGTCCCCGCGGGGCAGCGCAAGCGCTCCGAGGCGGGTGCGCTCCAGGCGGCCCCGCGCCGCCGCCTCCTCCTCCAGCAGCCCCTGCACGCGGCCGCGGGTCAGGCGGCCTCCGGAGCCGCCGCTGCCCCCGAGGTAGCGCACCGAACCTCCCGCAGCTCACGGGCCGCGCCGGGCCGCCGGCCCGCGCCGCGCCCCCCTCCGGCGGCGGCGTGGCGGGCGGCGGCGGCGGCGGCTGCTGCTGCTGTGGCGGCGCCGGCGGCGGTGGCGGCGGCGGCAGCGGCGGCTCCGGGCGCGACGGCGGGCGGGGGGGCGGGCGCGGCCGCGGGCGGCGCCGGGGAGCGGCCGGCGCGGGCGGCGGCGCGGCCGGGCGCGGCCCGCTGCGCGCGGGGCCGGCTGCGCGGGCCGGGCGAGGGGCGCTGTGGCGGCGGCGCGGCCGCGCGGGGCCGCCGGGCGGGCGGCAGGGCGCGGGCGGTGGCGCGGGCGGGGCGTGGGCGGCGGCGCGGCGGCGGCGCGGGGCCCCGCGGGGGCGCGCGGCGGGGCCGGCGGGGCTCCGCGCCGGGGCGGCTGGACGCGCGCCGCGTTGCGGTACGAGATGCTCCCCTTGTAGCTGACCCGGAGCACGGCGCGCTGCTGGATCAGTTTCTCGAGCTCGGCGCGCGTGCGCTCCGGCTCCGGGCCGTGCCGCCGCCGCACCATCCGGCAGATGCGCTCCAGGTCCGGCCGCGCCTTGCGCGAGCGCAGCGAGTCGATCGTGTCCAGGATCCACTCTTGGTAGTGCGGGGAAGCGGCGGACGACGAGGCGGCGGCAGCCGTGGTGGCGGCCGCCGCCGTCTCCGGCGGGGGTAGGGCCGGGGGCCCCGCCATGCCTCCCGCCCGGCCCGGCTGCACCGTGCGCGCTGCCTCCCTCCCAGCGCGGCGCCCCCCTCCCCGGCTCCCCTCCCTCCGCCGCTGCCCGCCTCCTCCGCCTCCCCCCCGGGGGGCGCAGCGCCTCGGCGGAGCGGCGGCGGCGGCGGCGCTGCCGTTTCTTTGCAAAAAAAAAAGAGCGAGAGAGGGAGCGAGAGAGAGAAAAAACAGTGAGAGAGAAAGAAAAGAGAGAAAAAAAATATGCACACACTCACTCACTCGCACGCACGCACACACAGCCCCGCTTCTGCTGGGCGCGCGCGGGGCCGGGGATGCGAGGAGGGAGGAGGGGAGCGCGGCGCGGCCGGCCCCTCCCCGCCGCCGCTGCCGCCGCCGCCGCCGCACGCGCGCCCTGCGCCCGGGACACTCCGGCCCCCCTTCCTTCCCTCCCTCCCTCCCTCCTCCCCGCCGCCCGCCTTCCTCCCTCCCACCCCCACGCGCCCGCTTTTAAGGTGGAGCCCGGGCCCCCCGTCCGCCCCCTTTACCCTGCGCTCTCGCTCACTCCGGCTCGCTCCGGCCCCCCCTTACAACTCCCGCGCGCTTTTTAAGGAGGCGCCGCGGAGTTGGCGCCGGGGCGGGGGCGGGGGAAAGCGACGGGCGGGGGAGGGGGAGGGGAGTGCCGGGGGGAGGGGAGAGGGGGCGGGCAGGGCAGGCGGGCGGCGCTCGGCCGCCCTCCAGCCATTGGGCGCGGGACCCAGACGTCCCCGGCGCCCAGCCCCCCTCTCCACGCCTCCCCGGCGCGCTCCGCTCTCGGGACCGCACTTACCGGGAACTCGCCGCCCGCGGGCCGGGGCCGGCGCGCTCGCAGGGCGCTGCGGGGCCCCTCGGGCTGCCGCCGCCCCCTCCGCTCCTCCGGCGCGCCCGGTCCCGCGCTCTGGCTGCGGGGAGGGGGCGCGCACCGTCTCCCCCCGTCCACTCCCCCTGCCTGGGCCGCCCCCGCCGCCGCTCGGCCTCCCGGCGCGCCGGCCCGGCGTCTCCCTCGAGCGCCCTCTCGGCCCGGGGCCGGACGCAGAGAGGTCGCGCTGCAGATTTGGGGACCCCGAATGCGGGGGTCAGAGGGCAGTTTGGCGCCCCCTTCTCCTGCGGGGCGGAAGGAGTGGCGGCTTCCAGCTAAACCCGGTTTCGCTCGGACTCCAGGCCAGGGCCTGAGCAGCCTGGACGCCCGGTCCGAAATTCCCTTTCCAACCCCCTGGGGGTGTGTGGGTGGGTGACCGAAGTCGAGAACACCAGCGACACTTTTTTTTTTAAACAAAACTTTATTGGTAATAGTTTTCAAATATGTTTACAACAGCACACTGTTCAAGAGGAAGTCTCGTCCTTCGCAGCACACAGGTTGAATCGCCCCGTGCCCACCCGGGGCCCCACCCCAGGCCTGAGAGCCCTCCTGGGATGGGGAGAAGTTATGAGAGGGACAAACAGAGGGACGAATTGGGGTGGCTCCCCACTTTTCTATTGAGAGATAAAAGCACAAATCTGACGGAGGTGGAAGTGACGGACAGCTGTTGGCTAAGCTAGAAGTGGGGCGCCCAGGATGGTGGAGGGACCCCAGAAGCTGCTGGGTGACTAAAACAGGCAGCCCCTCCCCAGCAACCCTGGCCTTGAACCCTGGGCTGTGGAGTGGGGCCCGGGGGAGGGGACTTTGCTTTCCATGCCCTTTTGCAGGGTTGCCTTCCCAACCGAGTGGAGAGGAGGCTGCGTGTTACTATCTGGCTGAGAATAAAATTAAGGAGTTTGGGGGGTGCTGCTGGGAGGAAAGACTCGGCGTGGGGCTCCCCCTCTGTCTTTTATTGGGGGGGTGACTCCTCTTTGGCAGGGAGAGGGACAGCTGCTGTGTCTGGCTCCCAAAGCCCAGGGGTGAAGAAAGGTCTGCTGGGGAGGGCAGTAGGGGCTCCCTAAAGGGGCTGAGACCCTCGCAGGATTGGCAGAGGACGCCCGCCACCACCCCAAAAGGGGGCAGGGGAGATTAGCAGCTCAGGGCAGAGGTTCAAACCCCAGCGCCTCCCTTGACAAAGTCAATCTGATTCCCAACCTTGTTCAAATGGATTTGGGGGAGGGGGGAGAGCAAGGGAGTGGGGAGGGTAGAGGAAAGAGGGGAGGGAGGCACTGGTGGAACTTAAATAAGATTTTAAATTGTTTTTTGTTTTTTTTTTTTAAAAATCCTAGCAAGCAGCCCACTGAACATGTCACTAAAATCTCTTCCTCCCAGGCAGGCAGGGTTGCTCTGAAGGGAAGGTGGGCTTTTCCTTCATTGGCCCTTACTGAGGGGTGCCTGTGGTGGGGTTGGGGTGTGGTGGGGGCTGGAGGTTAAGTTTGGGCCCCTTTCCACAGCCCGTCCCTGGATACACCAGCAAGACCTTGCCTGACTGGAGCTGAGAAACTCGTTTAAAACAGGCTGAAGTGGACTGGGGGGGGGGTTGTCGGGGAGGAGGGAGGGAAAAGTGGTAGAAGGTGCAGGAGGACTCAAAGGAGAGGGGGGGAGCAGCTGGTGTTTTCTGTCCCTCCAAATATCTGGGCTTCCTGCTCCCCCTACCCCGGAGGGTGGGGTGGGGGTGAAATTAGATGCAAGGAACTCTGTGGCCATCTGGCTGTTCAATCCAACCCTCCCACCCCCCCACCAAAAAAAAAAAAAAAAGAAGGAAAAAAAGAAAAGAAAACCCCTGGGGCCACAGGCACACCCCTAAAACTCAGAGAACTCCTTGCCACACTTCTCACTGATGGACACCCGGATCTCTTCCTCCTCATAGTCGTCAAAGTTACTCGTGTCGCCAGGGCCTTTAAACTTTGGTATGAAGGGAGCTTCCACCTGGAGAGGGATCAAGCATCACCCAGGACTCAGCAGTCAACATAATCCTTATTACAACAATAAATGCAAATGGCCTAACATTCAAGAGATATTTACTCTGACCCAGGTCTGTGCTTGGCATTAGGGCGTGACTCTTCTTAACAATCCAAGACTCTTAGCGGACTCACCAAAGGGGAAATTACTTCCCGGAGAGAGGCGTCTCTTGCCCAAGGTCACAGAGTGCCCAAATGACCCCAGAATCCCATTTCTGGACCCGACTGGCTCTAACCTGCCTACTCTAGGTTGCCCCCGGACCCGAGGTCTCTTCCCTTTCCATCTCTTCACTGGCAGCCCTCCCTGACACTTGGCCTCCCTCCCTCCGCCCCCGAAACCCTCAACATGCTGGAGGAAGGAAGGCCCACCTTCCTCTGGTAGATGGCGATCCAGTCAGTCGTTGCAAACCACTTGTGGTTCTTGATATCGTTGACTCCGTTCTTGAGGTTTCCAAAGCGCTTGGTTAGATCCACCTGCAGGAGGTTCCGAAGTAGGTCCTTCAAGTCAGAGCTGAAGTGGGAAGGGAACCGCACCTGGAGGAGGGGTACACAGACAGGGTAGGGAGCGGCTCCATCCAACAGTCCGATTGGGCAGAGGCCCCCGGATTTCAGTGTCTGCTGGAACCCTGTAAAAACAGCTCGTTGGGCCTGCCCTAGGGTTTCTCATTTAGGAAAGCTGGGTGGGGCCTGGACGTCTGTTTGTAATATGCACCCTGGCAGCGCTGCTGCCGACAGGGGCCCCCTTTGAGAACCACTGCTCTAAAGCAAGTGCTGTGATGGTTCTCATTTCAGAGAAGAGGAAACTGAGGCTTGGGGTGGGGGAGGGTTGAACAGCCCTCCCCACAGTTACACCAAGGAGCGGACAGGCAATTCCATCCCAGGTCGATCGGACTCCAGAACCTCATCCTTAGCTGCTGCTTCTTAAGGCCGCTCTGCTGGGGCCTGGAGACTTCTGAAATCTTCACGCTCATGGAGACACTTTTCCCCGCGCTCTCTCCATAGCTAAGGCTCTCCCATTCTTTAAGGCCCAGCTCAACTCTTTCCGGAGAGTCTCCTCCAAAGCTCTGAGCCCCCGGCCTTGCGTGCAAGTAGTCACTGGAATGACAGCTGCAGGAAACAACTTCCAGTCCCTGCTCTGCCTCTTACAAGCTGTGTGACCTTGGCCACAGCCCTTAACCTCTCTGGGCCTGCGCATGTCTCTCCGACAGGGGCAGATATCCCAGAGTCAGTCGAGGGAGATAATGCCGCCCAAGGGTGCGTGGGACTTGGAAAAATGCTACAAAGAAGGGAGCTATGCTCATCTTCCTCTCTTCCCCCACGGAAACTTCCATGGCTTTTTCTTTTCTTTTTTTCCCCCCCCACTCTTGGCCATTATCTGGGAATTTCTACTCTGCCTGGTGGCAGATGCCTCATCTTTCCCTCGTAGTGACGCGGACCGTGTGTCTGGCCGGCCGGCGTGTCCCCACTTTGCAGTTGGTGACTTCTGCCCTCTCCGAGGGGCATGCGGCTAGCTCCCTGGTTCCCAGCCGGCCAGGAGGAAGCTCAGAGGAGTGAAGCGACTTGCCCCAAGTCTCACAGCCAACAGGTGGCAGAGCTGGGCCTCCAGCCAGCCAGGCCACCCGAGGCTGAGCTTGAGGCTGAGCCCGAGTCCATTCCCACTGTTTTCTGGTGACTCTGGGCCAACCGGCAGCTCCCGTGCATGCACGGGGCGCCAGACCAGGTGGAAGGAGGTGGCTGGGCTGCCACTTGCTCCACTTACAGTGACACCTCCCCTTACTCGCCGAGGTGCGATCCTGGACCAGACATGGCCCCTCTCCAAGCCTCAGTTTCCTCACCTCTCCCACGGGGGTCCAACTCTGTCAGGGTCTGAGCGAGGGGTGAGCCCAGGACCCGGCAGGCGGGGTCACTCGGTGCGCTTTGCAGATGAGAACGCAGAGGGTTCTGCCCCCTGCCCAGACCCTCGGAGCCGCCCCGTCTGCCCCGTCTGCTCTTGGGAGAGCAGGCCTGGGCAGTCCCCAAGCGATGGCACTCCCTGGTGGGGCCGAGGGTGGCGCCTGGGAACCAAACACATTCGCTTTTCTGCCTTGAAACTTGCGAGAACTCATTCTAGGCGGGACAAGCGAAGGCGAGGGCGGCCTGGTGTCGGGGCGCCCGAGTTCTGTGGCCAAGCAGTTCCGAGGAGGCGTGGGGTTTGGGAAGCCCTTGGGATTCTGGCACTGCGGGTCAGGGGCTAGACTTCCAGGCGGCTCGACCACTTGGCTTCTAGATTAATGAGCTTCTAGATTATTCCAACCAGCAGTGATCCGCAGACAGCGGGGCGGGCGGGGAAGGGTCTGCTTGTCCCTTCCGGCACGTGGGCCTCACCTTCCCGGAGACGATCTTCTCGTAGATCTGGATGGGCTGGTCGGCGAAGAAGGGCGGGTAGCCAGCAGCCATCTCATAGATGAGAACGCCCAGGGCCCACCAGTCCACGGCCTTGTTGTAGCCCTGGGGCGAGATGGGGTTGAGGGGTGTGGGGTGAGGCGGGACCGAGGGCGGGGCCAGCCTCAGGAGAGGGGCGGGCTGGGGGCGCGCCTACTTTGCTCAGGATGATCTCAGGGGCCAGGTACTCGGGGGTCCCGCACAAGGTCCAGGTGCGGCCCTTCACACGCTTGGCGAAACCGAAGTCTGTCACCTGCAGGCACAAGAATGAGCGGTTGGCCAGGAGGGAGGGTCCAGGCCGTGGCCACCTGGGGCTGCCCCTCGCCCGGCCCGGTGGGCACCTGAATGTAGCCCTGCTGGTCAATGAGGAGGTTCTCCGGCTTCAGGTCCCGGTAGATGAGATCCAGCGAGTGTAGGTACTCGAAGGTCAGGACGATCTGGGCCGCGTAGAAACGGGCATGAGGCTCGCTGGTGGGGACAAGCAGGAAGGTGAGTGCCGGTGGCCACGCCCCCAAATGGTCCAGCAGGTGGGCCCAAGGAGCCATCCCCAGAAGAAGACACCCCCAGTCCAGCTATCAGAAATGGAGAAGCAACCGGGCACGGTGGCTCCCGGCCGTACATAGTCCCAGCTACTTGGGAGGCTGAGGCAGGAGGATCGCTTGAGGCCAGGAGTGTGAGACCAGCCTGGGCAACATAGTGAGACTTTGTGTCTACAAAAAATAAAAAAATTAGCTAGCATGGTGGCACATGCCTGCAGTCCTAGCTAACTGGGAGGCTGAGGCAGGAGGATCGTTTGAGCCCCGGGCTTTAAGATCAGCCTGGGCAACATAGCGAGACCCCATCTTTACAAAAAAATAGAAAAATCAGCCAGGTGTAGTGGCACACACCTGCAGTCCCAGCTACTCAGGAGGCTAAGGCGGGAGGATCACATGAGCCCAAGAGTTTGAGGTTGCAGTGAGCTATGATCTTGCCACTGCACTCCACTCCAGCCTGGGAGACAGAGTAAGACCCCATCTCTCTTTTTTTTTTTTGAGACAGAGTCTCACTTTGTTGCTCAGGTTAGAGTGAGTGCCATGGCATCAGCCTTGCTCACAGCAACCTCAGACTCCTGGGCTCAAGAGATCCTACTGCCTCGGCCTCCCGAGTAGCTGGGACTACAGGCATGCGCCACCATGCCCGGCTAAGTTTTTCTATATATATTTTTAGTTGGTCAATTAATTTCTTTCTATTTTTAGTAGAGACGGGGTCTCACTCAGGTTGGTTTCGAACTCCTGACCTCAAGCAATCCACCTGCCTTGGCCTCCCAGAGTGCTAGGATTATAGGCGTGAGCCACTGTGCCTGGCCAAAGACCCCATCTCTTACAAAAAAAAAAAAAAGGTATAAAAATGCACAAGCAGAGATACTCAGATAGCTTGACACTGGAAGCAGCTCGAATGTCCATCACTGGGAGAATGGAATCACAGATGGTGATATATTCATACAAGGGAAAACCACTCAACGCCACCACTACCAATAGGACACACTACGATCTACTCAATGAGGTGGCTGGACCTCTAACCGATTCTGTCAAGCAAAAGAAGAAAGACACAAAAGAACATGAACTGTATGATTCTGTTTGTGTCAGGTCCAAACACAGAAAAAACAAATGCATGGTGTTTGGAGCCAGAAAGGACAGGGATTTGAGAGAATTTTCTGGGGTGATGGAAATGTTCTATGTGATGTTTTGGGTGGAGGTTATGTAAGGGCATACGATTGTCAAAACTTAGGGAACAGGCTGGGCGCGGTGGCTCACGCCTGTAATCCTAGCACTCTGGGAGGCTGAGGTGGGTAGACTGCTGTTTGAGCTCAGGAGTTCAAGAGCAAGAGTGAGACCCCGTTTCTACAAAATCCAAAACAACAACAAAAAAAAGAAAAAAAAGAAATTAGCTGAACGACTTAAAGTATATATATAAAAAGTTAGCCGGGCATGGTGGTGCATGCCTGTAGTCCCAGCAACTCTGGAGGATCACTTGAGCCCAGGAGTTTGAGGTTGCTGTGAGCTAGGCTGACGCCACGGCACTCTAGCCCGGGCAACAGAGTGAGACTCTGTCTCAAAAAAAAAAAAAAACAAAAAAAACCCCACAAACTTATGGAATGGAATATTGAAGATCTGTGCATTTTATTGAATTTAAAGTGTAATTATGTTTATAAAATAAAGCAATAGTATAAATTTAATTAATTAACTAATTAAGAGACAGGGTCTTTCTATGTAGCCCAGGCTGGTCTTGAACTCCTGGGCTCAAGAGATCCTCCTGCCTCAGCCGCCTTCTTTTTTTTCTCCCCCCCCCCTCAGCCTCCAGGACTATGAGAACCACCTCAGCCTTTTGAGGAGCTGGGACTATAAGCCTGCACCACTGAGCTGGCCTCAAAAAAACAAAACAAAACAAAAAAACGCCTAGATTTGCCAACTTAAATGTTGACACCTAGGCCAGGCATGGTGGCTCACACCCGTCATCCCAGCACTCTGGGAGGCCAAGGCAGGCGGATTGCTCGAGGTCAGGAGTTCGAAACCAGCCTGAGCAAGAGCGAGACCCCGTCTCTACTATAAATAGAAAGAAATTAATTGGCCAACTGATACATATAGAAAAAATTAGCCGGGCATGGTGGCGCATGCCTGTAGTCCCAGCTACTCGGGAGGCTGAGGCAGGAGGATCGCTTGAGCCCAGGAGTGTGAGGTTGCTGTGAGCGAGGCTGACGCCAGGGCACTCACTCTAGCCTGGGCAACAGAGTGAGACTCTGTCTCAAAAAAAACAAAAAACATCGACACCTAAGTCACCGTGTCTGGTCTGTCTGCTTTGTTTTGTGGTGTGGTTGACACAGTGCGTATTCCTCGGCACAGAAGAAACAAAGACCCACAGGGACCCGGAGCGACCGCTTGAATGCTCCACCGTGCTTGGCCTCCTCTGCGTTCCCCGACGTGGGACGCGGCTGTGGGTGGACACCCCCCCCAGAGCCCGGACAGCCGGGGTAGCCGCTTACCTGAACCTTCCGATCCGCCGTAGGTGTGAGAACATCTCCCCACCGGGAACGTACTCCATGACCATGTATAAGTTCGTGTTGTCCTGCAGGAAGCGGTGGCCGGTCAGGGCCCCGTTCCCTGAGCCCTGGGTCCCATCTGAGGGCCGCAGGGGCCTCACCTGGCAGGTGTTCAGACTTTAAATGACAACAACAATCCTGGCTTTCTGTACGAAGCATGTCCCAAGGGCCAGGCGCGGTGCCGGCCGAGCCTCGCTGTGAAGCTCACCCTGCCCACGCGGAAGAGGGGCAGCCCTGATCCTGCTGTGTGACGGGGGGTGAGAGTGTGGGCCAGCTCGGAGGCAGGTAGGGACCTGGCCAGTGTGTCCCGGCTGCAGAGAGAGGGGCTCTAGTAGCTTGTGTCTGGGAGCCCAAGCAAGGCTTCTGGGACCACGGTTTTGTCCCCTGTAAAATGGGACTGGGATGGGCTGCAGAATTTGCAGGGCCCCAAATAAAAATCTGTGGCCCCTTGCTGAAAAATTGCTATGGATTTCAAGATGGCAGAAGGAGGGCATTAAATCAGGTGTGGGGGCCTTCTGAGCACAGGCCTGGGCGCCTGCCCGGGGTGGACGCCCAGGAAGCCGGCCCCAAGTGGCCTTTCCCGCCCCTCAGGACCACAGCTTTGGATGGCGCCCAAGACAGCGCCCAAGGGCGCTTGTGATGTGCTCAGAACTGTCATGACGACCCCACTGGGTGGAAGCTATTACGATTCCCATTTAACAGATGAGAAAACTGAGGCTCAGGGAGATGCAGTCCCTTGCCCAGGGCCACGCACCCAGGAAGTAGAGAGCTGGGAACTGAACTCAGGCTCCTGGCTCTAGGTCAGGGTCTTGCTGCAAATGAGGCGGCGGATTTTGAGGAGTGCCACTGAGGTCGGGCGACTCGACCAAGGTAAATGGAGCTAGAAACTGGCTGGCCTGGGAGCTGAGCTTGGGTCTGCCGGAGCCCCCGCCTAACCAGCCCTGTGCCCCGGCATCCCTCCTGCAGGGAACTCCTTCCTCCCCAGAAGTGGACAGCCACTGGTTGTCCTTGTTCCCAACCGCAGTCCTGGGAACGGAGGGGCTGCACCCGACGGCTGGGACCCAACCCGGCACAGTGCCCCGACCCCTGGCCGCTTGGACCCCACCTTGAAGGAGAACTCGAGTCTGACGAGGAACGGAAAGTTGACGGCTTGCAGGATGCGTTTTTCATTGAGGGTGTGCTCGATCTGTTTCAGTTTCACCACCTGTGCGGGTGGGGGGCAGAGAGAGGAGCCAGGTTAGAGGGGCCTCATTTGCCCCGATGCCTGGAACTAGGGGTGCCAGGGCCGGGCCGGGCAGGTCCCTTCAGGTGGAATCGTGTGTGTGCCTGTGGCCGGTCGGGCCCTGGGCCGGGTGCTGAGGACGCAGCAGGGAGGCTGCCGTCCTCACGTGGCGTGGAGTCCAGGGCGGGGGGCCGGAGCCACGGTGGGGATGCTTGGGCTCCCAGATGGCCAGAGAAGGCGCGGTCAGTGGAAAGGCGACCCCAAGAAGGCTTCTTGGAGCCAGGGGCGGCTGAGCTGAAAGCGCCTTCCCCTCCCTTATCTCGAACCCTGCACACACGAGCCCGAGCCTCCGGCTAATAATCCCCCTCCGCTATCAGCTGCCCCACACGGGCAGGCACCTTCCACATGGTCTCCAGCTGGACCGTGGCAGAAGCCCTGCGAGGGACATGCTGTGAGCACGCCAGTTTGGAAGCCCAGGCACAGAGAGGGGACGTGACTTACCTAAGGCCACACAGCTTGCCGATGTCAGCCCGGCTTGACACATACAGGCAGCCTGGCCCCTGGTTGGCCTGAACCACTTCGCTCCCCCAGCTGTGTGCCCTCAGGTCCACACCAGCCCTGCTCAATTCCCACCAGCCACAGATGGCCACTAAGCCCTTGAAATGGGGCTATTTAGCTAGGAAACCGAATTTCAAGGTTTTTTCCTTTGAGACAGAGTCTCACTCTGTTGCCTGGGCTAGGGTGCCGTGGCGTCAGCCTCGCTCACAGCAACCTCCAACTCCTGGGCTCAAGCGATCCTCCTGCCTCAGCCTCCCGAGTAGCTGGGACCACAGGCATGCGCCACCATGCCCGGCTAATTTTTTATATATATATGTTTTAGTTGTCCAGCTAATTTCTTCCTATTTTTTAGTAGAGACGGTGTCTCATTCTTGCTCAGGCTGGTCTCGAACTCCTGAGCTGAAACGATCCACCCACCTTGGCCTCCCAGAGTGCTAGGATTACAGGCGTGAGCCACTGCGCCCGGCCCCAAATTTCAAGTTTTGATCATGCCACTGCACTCTAGCATGGGTAGGTCCTGGATAACTTGTAAGCACAGCTGGGACAGCTCTGGCCCCCAAACATGCTTGTTCATCTTTTGTACTTTTTCTCCTCTTTCCAGAGAAAATTTACCAGCTGATTGGAGACCTGTTCTAAGTATAGAATAGACACTGGATTTTGAAGACACTTTAGTATAAAAAGAAAAAAAAAGGAATGGAAAATGTCTCATTAATGATATTTTCACATTGAGAACATGGAAATGGTAATAGTGTGGACATAGTGACTTAATTAAAACACACTGTTAAAAATGAATCTCACCTGTTTCTTATTACTTTTAAAAATTTTTTTTGTAGCGATGGGGGGGGGGTCTCGCTATGTTGCCCAGGCTGGTCTTGAACTCTTGGCCTCGAGCGACCTTCCAGCTTCGGCCTCCCAAAGTGCTGGGATTACAGGCCTGAGCCACTGCACCAGGCCCATCTGTTTACTTTGTTTAATTAAAAAAATTTCGCTTGTTTTAGAGATGGGGGTCTCACTATGTTGCCTAGGCTGGACTGGAACTCCTGGCCTCAAGCCGCAGGGACAACAGGTGCATGCCACCATGCCCAACCTTCATTTCACATTTTTTTTTTTTTTGAGACAGAGTTTTTCACTCTGTCACCTAAGCTGGAGTGCAGTGGTGCAATCACAGCTCACTGCAGCCTCAAGCTCCTGGGTTCAAGGGATCCTCCCATCTTTAGCCTCCCGAGTAGCTAGGACTACAGGTGCACACCCACATGCCCGGGCTCTTTCCTTTTTTGATGGAGCAACTAGAAAATGTAAAGTCCCTTCTGTGGCTTGGGTTATGTCTCTGTTGGACGGCGCTGCTCTCAAAAATACTTATGGAAAGACTGTCTGCGAAAATGCCGCCTCCCCCCAGGAGGACCTGCCTCCTCCACACCGGCCGGTGTCTGACCCTGTCATACGGCCTGGCTTTGCCCTGGCGGCCGGCCTGGAGGGGTGACTTGAAAAGGCAGCACAGGGGCCTTCCAGTCTGGGTCTGGCACACGAGGGGGCCTGGGGTCTAGTTGGAGAGCGGGCGAGTGGCGGGCCCAGTTGGGGCGAGGGCCTGGTGGAGGGGACGGGCTGGGCGGCAGGGCAGGTCTCACCTTCTGTTTGTCGAGGATCTTCATTGCATAGTGGTTCCCTGTCTCCTTGTGTTTCACCAGCATCACCCGGCCAAAGGAACCCGTGCCCAGGGTCTTGATTCGATCGAATTGATCCAAATGGGCTGTATTCTGTGGGCGGAGGGGTCCAGAGGGTCAGAGATGCCCCTTGCATGCGGCCTGCTGGGCCCGGGTCTGGGGCGTCCCCTCTGCCACCAGCAAAGGGGGCCCCAGGGAGCACGTGGGGTGAGCGGGCTGAGGACAAGATGGCAGAGGGCGCATTCCTCAAGGCGGGTGGCAGGGCCAGATCCGGCCCTGGCCTGGGGCCCAGGAGCTGCTGGCAGCTGTGCGGGGGGCAGGGGCAGCCAGTTGGAAGGGGCCACGGGGGTGGGGGAGCCTGGCGGAGGGCAATTCCATGCCTGCGCCCAGGAGCCCCGTGGGTATCTAGTGAGTGACTGGGGCAAGGTCTGGAGCCCACAGTGCGCTGGAATTCTAGCTGCATCTCGGGGACGCGGTCAGGGGACTGGGGGCCTTTGGCTTACCCCTCCCAGGGCCCCGTGCCTGGTGGGCTTACCTGAGAGGGATTTTCCCATTTTTTAAGAAAATCTTCTTTGGCTTTAGCTAGGAACTCTTTCACTGAAAGGAAGAAAGGGGAGGGTTAGATGGAGACCCATTCTCATCAGGGTGGGCTCAGGTCATTTCTGGGGACACGCTCTTTGCGGAAAGTGGGGTGCAGCTGCCCCAACCCAGAGCCCAACCTTTTCCCCAGGGCCTTCGGGTGCCTGGCCGATCCCACAGGCAGGCTGGAGGGCCCTGATCCAGGCCAGGGCCTGGGCCCCCTAACTACAGAGAGGTGAGATCCAGCCTCCACCCCATCCAAAATGGGGTACAGGGTGACTCAGGGGCCGCTCCCAGGGGGACAGAGAGAGGCACCCAGGCCAGCCCACCCCCACTCGCCCCAGTTCTGACCGACATTCCACGGCCAGGGACGACGCCAGCCGAAGTATTTATAGCCTCGGGATTTGGCGGCTCCTTCGGCTCCTTCTCTGGGGAGGCTGGGCCCGGGGTGGAGGCCTTTGGGGCTCGGGTAGCAGGCGCCCTTGGGGGGCTCAGCTGTTGCCTTGGCCCCAGCTGGCTCTGTTCCTCTCTTTGCCCATTGCGGGGCTTCGCTCCAGAGCTGACTCAAGGGGAGGCCTTGCCTGGAGACCCCTCCGCCCCCAGCACCCTGAGCCGAACATCACCATCCAGTATCGCTGAAGACGTCCCTGGTGGACCCTGGGCCGGCTGCTTCGTCTACACTACCTCATCCCTCATCCTCACTTAACAGCCCAGGAAAATATGGCTTCAAAACGGTCATTCTTGCCTATGCTGAGAGGCAGCCCAGCAAAGTGGCTAAGGGCCAGGACCCTGGGACAATATGGAGTTCAGATTTCAGCCTGGTCTCAGACAAACTGTGTGACTTTAGGCACCTAACCTCACCTCTCTGGGCCTCAGTTTTCCTCATCTGTAAATCAGGGATAGTAAGAGCAATGACCTTGCAGGGTGGTTCTGAGGTTTGATTGAGTTCATCTTGGCAAAGGGGGTTGGACAGTGTCCGGCTTGAGGTGAGTGCCATAGAAATGTCAGCTATTCATTTGACTTTTAAGTAATTTTAGAAATGGAGGTATAAAATACAGGGGGAGCCAGGCAGGGTGGCGCATGCCTGTGGTCCCAGCTACTCAGGAGGCTGAGGCAGGAGGATCGCTTGAGCCCAGGAGTTGGAGGCTGCAGTGAGCTATGACGACTCCAGTGCACTCTAGCCCAGGTGACAGAGTGAGATCCTGTCTCAAAACAAAACAAAACCCAAAAAACGGGGTGCATTGAGTGCTTCAATTTTTGTTGTTGTTTTTTTTTTATAGCCAGAGTCTTGCTCTGTCACCTGGGCTACAGTGTAATGGTGACCTTACAGCTCACTGCAGCCTCAAACTTCTGGACTCAAGTGATTCTCCTGCCTCAGCCTCCCGAGTAGCTGGGACTACAAATGCCACCATGCCCGGCTAATTTTTCTATTTTTGTAGAGACAGGGTCTCCCTCTTGTTCAGGCTGGTCTTGAACTCCTGGCCTCAAGCGATCCTCCTGCAGCCTCCCAGAGTGGTAGGATTATAGGCACAAGCCCCTGCACCTAGCAGAGTGCTAAAATCTTAAACGTGCAGCCCAATGAATTCTTACATTACAGAGTTGTCCTTGTAACCACCTCGCCTAGGGTCACAAGGTGTCTCAACGAAGCACTGAGAACACTCGGCCAGATGGGAGCTGCTATCATTCCCATGGTACAGATGAGAAGACTGATCAGGACTCAGGTCACCTGCCTGACTCCACTGCCCACGGGATTAACTGCTTCACTACTGGATCAGCCGTTGGTCCCAATGCACAGGGTGGCCTATAGACAGAGCTGTCCTCAACCCCCTGCCGTTCCTGGGATGGCTGCCACCCTGAGGGGCCCCGCATACACCTGCACTTTTGTGTTGCCTGTCATCTGCCTGCCAAAAATCCCAGACAGCCACGTGGGTAAGCCATCCCTCCCCCACACTGTCCCCAAGGCTCTCCCTCAGTGTACAGAAAGAACAGTCCTCAGGGCTAGATGGGTGGCAGATGGGGAGAGATAGTGGCCAGGAAGCCCCCACAAAGAGGGATCGGGCCAAGAGGGGAAAGAGGGGACAGGCAACCAAAAGCCAGGAGTCCTAGGCTGTTGACTGGCTGGGCCATCAGCTGGCTTGGAGACCTCTCTGAGCCTGGGGCCACAGCACATCCGGGCTAGCACAGACTTTCTGACGTACAACACCTTCCTTGGAAACCTGAAAAGGATCCACGCTGAACTATGGATTGGGTGGGGAGGGCGGAGGGGACCTTCTCAGGACTCTACCTTTACCCGCGCGAGGAGGCAGAGGGGAGCGGGGTTGCATGAGAAGGCGTTGTCCCGTTTCCCCTTTGCGCTTAGCCATCCCTGACAACCGCTGGATCCTGCTCTTCCCTGACTCGGTGGGCCCTGAGCCTCTGGCTGTCTGTGGGCGCCCCACAGAGTGGCTTCGCAGGGTGCCCTGCTCTAGCACAGCCCTTCTCTGGCCTCTTAAGGCACAGGAAGGCCCAGGCTGTGTCCCCTCTAGTGCCACTATAGCCCTGTCGGCTTGCCAGGTTTGGGGATGGATGGGAGGGTCAGGCAGAGCCAGGAGGAGCAGGCAGATAAAGAGGGACAGTGCAGGGAGGGGCAGGGGACCGCAGCCAGGAGCCCCCACACTCACCTCTGCTTCCTGCCTCTTCCAGCAGGGGGTGGAATAAGGAGTGGGTGGGATGGGGTGATCTGGGGCCCTTGTGCCCCTGGCTCAGGGTGCTGGCTGCGGCTTAGGCCCCCAGAAGGTTTGGCGCAGGTAGCCCAGGAGACGGAGAGCCAGGTGGGCCCAGAGGAACAGCTGCAGCCACAGCTGGAAGGTGATCTCTGAGTCCCCACCCTCGCTGCTGCCTGACCCCAGATCCATCCCAGCCGCCCTGGACTCTCCCTGGACTCTCCCCTTTGCTGGGGAACCAGGAAAACGCAGAGCCTCTAAGCCAGCTTCCTTGGAAAGGCCTCGGGGGACCAGGGAGGAGGAGCCGGTTGCCACGGAAGCAGTTAAAGGTACCTGCTCCCTGCTGGCCAAGGTCTGCAGAGGCCCTCCTTGGCAGGAGGTGGTGGGAAGATTCTCCCGAGGGTGTCTCCCTGGCTGTCCCACGTGCCCCGGGGCGGGGCGCTGAAACTAAGTTTCCTTTCCAGGGACTTCATTGCTCCTGTGATGCCAGGCCCTGCCTTCCTCGGTGGGTGCTGCACTGTCCAGAGGACGGCACCAAATGTGCCCGGAGCAGTGCCCACCGGGCAGCGGGGAAGGAGTTAAGGCCGAGACTCAGGCAACAGCAAGAGAACCTCCCTGCGGGCTAAAAAGGCCCCAGAGCTCCTGTAATTGGCTGAAAGAACAGCTGGAGAGAAAGGCTGGGGGTGGGGGGTCTACAAGAGCCACCCTATCTCCTGCCCTGAACTCCCTCTCAACGTGGAGCCCCCAAATCCTGCTATCCTGAGTGAGAAATGGGTACATCTGTCTTGCTCCTATGCGAGTGTGGAGAGGGGAACGGCATCCCGCCATGTCCTTGGCCTGTCAAACCTTGCCCTGTGCTTGGCTCTGCTCTCGGCCATGAAAGTCCAAACCGGAAACGAATGGCTAAACCCAGGGATGGGGGAGGGGGAGGCAGCCTTGACCATCTTTCTCCTTCTTTCCAGATCCCAACAGAAGCAGAGGGCCAATGGCAACCTCTCTGAGAGTGCCCGGCACCTCTGCTGGCAACGGGAAGTGGTAGAGGAGCTGCTGGCCTGTGGAGCCTGCCACCCTGCCCACATCTCCCACACTGGGGGTGTCAGCCTCTACTCTGGTCCGGATTCCATTTGGCTTCACACACAGAAAATGCCAGACACCCCTCGAAAAGCCAGGGCCACAGAAAGAAGGCAGAAATCCAGAAATTCAGCCTGGGAGTGGGGGATCGCCATAGCGGAACATCAGTATGGGCGAGCGGCTTAGGGGCTCCCTCAGAAGGAGCCCGGACTCCGGAACCACCTCTTGGAGACAACAGTCTTAGACTCTCTGCCCTCCACAACCTGGCTGTCCTGGAAATCCTGGGGCGGGAATGCCCAGCCCGGGCTGGGACCCCTCCTGGGGCTGGCCGAGTCCTCCAGTCTAGCCTAGACCCCCTGCTCTGGGCCGCGCCATCCTCCAGCCTGAGCTGGACCCAACACTGGATGGGACCAACCCCCATTCTGGACTGGATGGCCCCCCCAGTCCGACTTGGACCCCAACACTGGGCTGGGCTGAGCCACCCCACTGTCCCTAAGCTGGACCCCCACTCTGGGTGGGCCATCCCCCCAACCCCCACCCCCTCAGCCCAGGGGTGTTAAGGGAAGGGTCCCCAGGACCAGCCTGGGGGCCACAGACTCCTCCTCTCAACCTGCTCCCCGAACCCTACTGCAGCCCCTCCCTGACTTGAGGGGCAGTGTGTGCCTGGGAAGTTGCTATAGCAACAGGGCTCAGCCTCACCATCGCTGGAGCTGGAAGCCATCACTCAGTCCTCCTCTCAGGGCACCCGGACTACGGTGGCTGGGAAGGCTCATGAGACCAGCCGTACCAGCCTGGCTGCCCATCCCCAGAGCCCCGCCTGCAGGGGGAGCCAGGGAGCTGTGGGATGGGGGCAGGAAGAGAAAACCCAATGTGGAGGCCATGGGTGCAGGGGAAGGGCACGTAGGACCCTCTAAGCCTCTACTGATCCGCTTTGGATAAGGGAGAAAAGCTGCCTTGACAAGACCCTCTTGGGCACCCATACAACTGCCAATGCACAGAAGGCATTTGGCCCTCTTGGGCATCCATAGGATGTTAGAGGGCAACAGTTCTTCCCACCCAGGGACCTCCTGGGGGCACCTTGCTCTTAATGCTGGGATCTGCTTGTCTCTGGAGTTTTAGGGGGGCTTCTGAGGGGCTCCCTCTTACCAGCTCTGCCTCTTCCCCTGTGGGCCAGCTCCCGGGGGTATTGCCAGCCAAGACCTGAGCCCTACTTGGCTGTCTGACCCGGGGGCCTCCTGGGGCCGCTGCCCTCGCTCAGTTCTTCCATCCTGGCCAGAGCCTGAGGCCTGGTCATTTTTCTCTGCTCTCTCAGCAGATTCCCCACGACTCCACCCCAGAGCCCACTCTAGATCCTTGCCCTCTTGGGAGAAGGCAGATCCTGTCCTGCCCTGGCGCAGAGGTGGCAACACAGGGCACTGCAAGATGCTTAACTGGTGCCTCCTAAGGCTTGGGCATTTTCCTGACCCCAGGCGGGCTGGCATCTAGCAGATGAATTCAGGTGCCCCCTGCAGGCTGGCCTGGCTACTGCCCCCGCCCCTGCCCCACCCTGGTTACAAGAGGGCACATTTTGTCTAACTCCATCCTGCCAGAATCAGAGAGCTTTGAATCAAAGAGGGACTTCTTCCTCATCCTATTTCCTTCTCTGGGAGCCTCTGTGAGGAAGTGCAGCTTCGGGCGTTTCCCAAAGTGTGACATGGTCCCATTGGCAGAACATGAAATAATTTTAGCCATGTTTCATTTATCTAGTTACACTGTATTTTGATGTGTACCAGAGAGAATATAACTGGCATAGCAATTCCCATGATTTCATTTATATTATTACTTAGCATGGGCTCAAAGTTTACAACTGAATAGAAGTGAGTAAAACTCTTATTACTTTAAATTAAGAAAATAATAAGTGAATAGACTAAAAAATCTGGGAGGCGGCTTAAGAATGTCTGAGTTGGGAAATTCTGAGGTCCAGGAAGTTTGCTGGTAGACAGAACTGGATGTGAATCCTGTCTCTCTGATATCATTTATGTCAAACTCAGAGAGCTGGTTTGGAAATTTTGGACGATAGACCGTCTTGAAAAATCACCAGAGGAGATATAGCTATTTGCCCCATCCCCTGCCCATCAGTGGCATGCCATTTAGCCTGACATATCTTAAATGCCCAACAAATAGTAGCTCTATTTTATTGTGATCATTCATTCCTGGGGCGTCCAGAGAATTAGTGCTTCCTTCCTTCCGGAGCCTCTGATCCTTTTCTTGGGATCTTTTTCCCTGTGTGGATTTCTATCCCTCACGACATGTGTTTGATATGTCTTGAAGGTTTTTCAGAACTATTTCATCTCCCCAACTTTCAACTGAGTCACCGTGATATATAGCTGTCTGCCTCCACCTTCCACCTCCCAGCCGGCCTCACCTGCTGGGGGCCTGGCCCCTCCCCCTCCAAGCTAGTCCCTCTGTCTAGTCCCCTCCAAGCTCATGCCCAGACCGTTTTTGGACACTACCCACCTGCTCCTCTGTCATCAAGCACTCAACTACAGGCACTTGCCTCCCCGTCCCCCGCCCATCGGTGACATGTCAGGCCTCTTCATAGCTGCTCTGTGACTCTGAGTTCTGCTGTTTGAATCCACGTGGGAATAAAGTTCCCTGGCTTTCATGCCTTTTTCATGTCTTTCTGGGAAGGGGACTCAGGGGACTGAGACGCTGGGGTTTGAGACCAACAACTGGGAAGGGCATAGTTGGACAGGGCCTTCCTTCTCAGTGCTAACTATTTCTGGGTAACAGGAAGGGAATTCCAGCTGAGGTCCAGCTTTAGGCTTGGAGTGATGACAATTTAAGAGCTGGAAGAATTGGGGAGGTGCCTCAAGACCATTTCTGAAGGCATTTCCAGATACAGAATCTTTCTCTGGCTGGCTGGAAAAGGCCAAATAATCTGGGGGAAACAAAGTGAAACAGGTCTCTTCTCTCTGGCTCAGCCCTGGGAATGATCAGAATCTATTTGTCCCTTGGCAAAGCAAATCACTAGATGTCACCCACGACTTTCCCCAACTGTCCCCCCTTCCAAGTCCTCTTTCCGACTGTCCCAGTTCAAGCCGAACGAGTCCTGCTAAACTCAGACACTTTATCCCAATCAGGAGCCAGTGAAGAAGCCCTGGGGACCGGGTGAATGACCTCAGTTGTGAAACAACCATTTATTGAGGGGCCCCCCAAGGACCCTAGAGCTCACTGCACAGCAGGAGATGTGAGGGAGCCCTGCCACCACCACCCACCTCACAAAACACAAGAGAGAGGACGCAATGAATCCCAGCAAGACTACCTCAAACTTGGCTTTGGAAGCACTGAAGCAGTTCTCTAGGTTCATAAACAGTCTGCTACCCCAGCCAGCTTGGAGGAGTGAGCACAAGCAGAGAAGCAGAGTGACAGAGAGTGACAGGATGAGAGAGGGGCAGAGGGACCCAGAAAGATCCTGTCCCCCATGCCAAGTGACACAGAAGGGAAAAACAATGATGGAGGTGGCTCGGGGAAATGCTCAAGGGGGACAGGAGGGGCTTGGAGGGGGGGCTGTGATAAGGTGAAGAGGGGAAGGGCAGGAGAAAGATGGCGGGGGCTGGAGGGGGGAGGGGTGTGGTCACCAAGTGGCCAAGCTCCCTGCGGTGCAGAGGCAGACCCCAATGCACTCCCAAAGTGGCAGAAACCAGGGTTGGGGTCAGGCAGTGAGTCTCATGTGTGGCAGAGGACAGTGAGGAGGTAGGGAGGTTAGTATGTGGGGAGAGGGGACAGGAAAGGAGGGGGTGGGGTAGTGACATGGGGCCCCAGCGGTCATACGTGCCACGGTTGGTAGTGACAGCTGGGGGGACACAGTCTTTGCAGTGGCGGACGGCCACAGCAAGGGAGCCCCTACAAGGGGTCCTTTGCAGGCCCTCGGGTCCCAGACCTAGACAGGCAGGGGCAAGGGGCGCTGGGGGTAAGCAATGAGGAATGGGGGGGCGCGTGGGGGAGGGGCCAGTTGGTGATGGACAGAGAGGGGGCTGGCAGCGCGGGGCCGGGATCGGGGTCACGGCCGGGCACTCACCGCTCTCCTGCTCGCTGCCCTTCTTGGCGGCGGCGGCGTTGCCCATCGCGGCGGCGGCGGCCGGGGCCGGTCCCGGAGCTGCGGCGCGGCGGGTGCTGGAGGCGGCCGGCGGCCCCGGAGCGCGCGGCTCACGGGGAACAGCTTTGACACAGAGGTGGGGAGGGAAGTGTCTAAAGGGCCTCTGAGCTGGGCGCGGTGGCTCACACCTGTAATCCTAGCACTCTGGGAGGCCGGAGGCGGGTGGATTGCTTGAGGTCAGGAGTTCAAAACCAGCCTGAGCAAGAGCGAGACCCCGTCTCTACTATAAATAGAAAAAAATTGGCCAACTAATATATACAGAAAAAATTCACCAGGCATGGTGGCGCATGCCTGTAGTCCCAGCTACTCGGGAGGCTGAGGCAGGAGGATCGCTGAGCCCAGGAGTTGAGGTTGCTGTGAGCGAGGCTGACGCCACGGCACTCACTCTAGCCTGGGCAACAAAGCGAGACTCTGTCTCAAAAAAATAAATAAAGGGCCTCCGAGAGGTGAGAGCGCTCCTGAGAGTAGAGCTGGGATTTGAACCTGCAGTGCTGACTCCTGAACCCCACTGTGTACTTTTGGGTAGAAAGGATGTGTCCAGGAACCAAGGGCTAAGGCCTCAGGCCTCATCTTTCTTACCTGAAACACAAACATGTGTCTCCCTGCAGGGACAGGGCCGACCAGCACCGAGTCCAGGATCTGATCGAACTCCTCACTCTCAGCTGAGCCGACGTAAATGATCTTCCACTCTAGGTCTGCAAGGACACAGGAGGAGAAGGGTTAAGAAATTACAATAGACTGGGCGCGGCGGCTCACGTCTGTAATCCTAGCACTCTGGGAGGCCGAGGTGGGAGGATTGTTTGAGCTCAGGATTTGGAGACCACCCTGAGCAAGAGCGAGAGCCCATCTCTACCAGAAACAGAAATAGAAAGAAATTAGCTGGACAACTAAAAAAAAAAAAAGAATATATATATATATATATAAACTAGCGGGCATGGTGGCGCATGCCTGTAGTCCCAGCTACTCGGAGGCTGAGGCAGAGGATCGCTG